GTACAAATGCGAAGTCGTTAGATGAGAAATAGAAGGCACTGTTATAATATCGGCTTTTTAGATGTTTCTTGAAAACGTCTTAAACTTCTTGTTTCAAAAGTCAAATGCTTTGAGAGTCTCTTATCTTCGCTCCAGTGTTACCAAAGTTTGATGGCAATCAGGGTGATTCAATATTATCCGTCACTCTTAATCAAGTCCGTTGTGCATAGTAGCGGCTCACTCTTCGCAAGTCGACAATACTTGCTGTGACAAATTAGAGCAGTGAGCTCGTTGATGCTCTTATTGCATGATTCAGTGAAACGGCTGTGGAGCCGTGACGACTACCGAAAAGAAATATGCGTTTCTGCGGTGTCTATTGGAGGTTTATTAGCGTTGGGTTTGAGGCGAGATTCGTGGCTTGCTTGAGTCCTGCAATACTTAGTACAAAAGACAATCATGAATCAACAGCAACAGGAATCACAAATGCAATTTGGCTTTGTGTCTACATTTAGTTTTGTTCATAAAAATGATGTGGTATGAATCTGGTTGGAGAATAATAATGCTACGCAAATAAATTAGCAGTTCCATGGGCTCGACTATGACTGATTATCTCTTAATATTTGAATAATTACATGAAAGTTGATATATTAAACTATCCCGCGCTGTGAGATAAAACACTGCCAATTAGATGATGGGTGCTATTGATGAAAAGGAAATATCTCATCCCGACGCATGCAGAGTCCAAAATTAAAAAGCAAGATGGATTTACCTAACACTTCTCGAAAGTTTTGCCCCATAATCGGGTTTTTGCTACTAAAAACCTTGGTGAGATCTGTCAGTGCTGCTGCAATGTCTATGTGATGCTAACAAGTCCGTTTGGAATATTTCTATTTATATTTATGTTTCTAAAGGAAATGATGAATGCAACATCTGTGTATGCCTGTTCTAGCCAAGTTGATTAGCGAGGCTGAGAATCTTGAATAGAAACAAAATTTCTAGGGAAATTACGAAAATCAGAAAAGTACCGTAATCGTTGTACACGAAGGACAACACCATGCTTTAGTCAATGCACCCCATGTTTTTGCTGTATTCTTACAATTCATACAATGCAGTTTGAAGGTTCTGCCATGGTCTTTGTTGCTTTCTACATTATCATCAGTTGTATCACTGACTTGGAGAATAACTATGCTGTACTTTTCCTACAGGTCAGCTGATTATTGCTCTATTTCAAACCATATTCCGGTTTTTAAATCGTATTTAGAAGGATGTTATGCCCACTACCAAAAACCAGCGTTAATGTGGCTCGCTATCCGAAATTTACGGAGCACTTAGCTTGGGCAGTCGACTACAAGTCAGTCTTATTTGTTAGAGGAAAACTGATAATCTTGCAAGATTTAGGAGAGAAGGAGCACGCCTGCAAGAATATGATGAATTCTGGCCAGTGCGATGGTCGAGACATTTCGTGTATGGCGCGAAGGAAGGAGCTGTAGCTTCTTCCTTACCAGTAATTTACGCATCGTGCCTCTCCATAGATTCTAGTCTAATAGAACTTGATTACAGGGTCCAGATAGTAGCGATGAACTATATGATAAATGGAGGCCTCCACCTTTACTTATTTCATTGCCAGTTATTGGCACGGTAAGGTTTTCATGATCGTTGCAGATAAGAAAAGAGTAATAACTTGATTATTTTATCTTTAAAAGATCATGGTGCACCAAACGCTTATCGCTATTCAATTGTCTCTCTTGCACCCCCCCCCCCCCCCCCCCCCCCCCCCCCCCCC